AACATTCTCAAACACTGAAATAGACTGGCACAATCTCAGGGGGATGGGCAAAATGGGGGAAGGAGAGTGGTAGGTACAGATTTCCAGTTATGGAATCAGTAAATCACAAGAACAAAAGGCACAGCATAAGGAATACAGTTGATGATATTGTAATAGTGTTATATGGTGACAGATGGTAGCTACACTTGTAGTGAGCACAGTATAATGTATAAACTTGTCAAATCACTAAGTTGTACACTGGAAACTAATGTAACATTGTATGTCAACTATACTCAAATTAAAATTTTAAACAAATAAACAAACAAATGGGCACAATCTCCCTGGAAGACAATCTGCACAAAGGTTTAGCTACAAGAATATTCATCTTTTTTTTTAAGATTTTATTTATTCACAAGAGACACACAGAGAGAGGCAGAGACACAGGCAGAGGAAGAAGCAGGCTCCCTGCAGGGAGCCCGATGAGGAACTTGATCCGGGGTCCCGGGATCAAGCTCTGAGCCAAACGCAGACATTTAACTGCTGAGCCACCCAGGTGTCCCAAGAATATTCATCTTAATGTAATTCATAATAGCAAAAGCTTGGAACAACCTGTAAGTTGGTCAGCTGAAAAAATTATGGTACATTCAAATAATATATCATGCAATCATTAAAAATTATAGAGGATGTGGACAATGTTCATGTTAATGACAGGAAAAAGATGCTTAATGACATGGGAGAATGTTCAGGGCACAATGGTGTTTTGGGTAAGAGACTGGGTCTGGAGTCAGACTGGGTTCAAATTCTGTATCCACCATTAATTAGCTGTGTGACATTAGGCAAGATAGTAACCATCTCTGTTTCTTTTTCTTCTTTCTTTCTTTTTTCTTTCTCTCTCTCTCTCTTTCTTTCTTTCTTTTTTTAATTTTTTTAAAATTTTTTATTTATTTATGATAGTCACACAGAGAGAGGGAGAGAGAGAGAGGCAGAGACCTAGGTAGAGGGAGAAGCAGGCTCCATGCACCGGGAGCCCGACGTGGGATTCGATCCCGGGTCTCCAGGATCGCGCCCTGGGCCAAAGGCAGGCGCTAAACCGCTGCGCCACCCAGGGATCCCCTCTTTCTTTCTTTCTATTTATGAGAGACAGAGAGAGAGAGGCAGAGACACAGGCAGAGGGAGAAGCAGGCTCCATGCAGGGAGCCCAACGTGGGACTCAATCCCAGGACCCCAGGATCACGCCCTGAGCTGAAGGCAGATGCTCAACTGCCAAGCCACCCAAGCATCCCTCTGTACCTGTTCCTTAATGTGTAATGAATAGAACCCCTATGAAATAACGGATCTAGGCTCCGGCTATCAGTGGTTACTTAAAACCACAAGCAGGGGGGCACCAGCGTGGCTCAGCTGGTTAAGCGTCTGCCTTAGGCTCAGGTCATGATCCTAGGGTCCTAGGATTGAGCCCTGCATCAGGTTCACCGCTTGGCAGCAAGCTGTTTCTCTCTCTCTCTCTCTGTCTCTCTGCTGCTCCCCCTGCTTGTGCTCTGTCAAAAAAACCAAACAAAACAAAAACCAAAAAAAACAACAAAAAACCCCCCACGAGCAGGAAGGTTGATGGGGAAGTTTAGAACAGATGTACCTGACTGGAAACACCATTAATCAATCTCACCATCAGTAAAATGAGATAACCAGACATTATGTGCCTCCTATTGTGATATAACAGGAAATAGAGTATATATCATGTCCATGAAGTATTCTTACCCCCAGATCTGACCTGAATTTACCTAAGTGTCTAGATATATTAACATACCAGAAATATGGAGATTTAATTCCATTAAAATGAAATTCAAGAACAATCAAAAGAAACTAATGGTGATAACAAGCTAGAATAGGGCTTACCTCTGGGGCAGATACAGACTAGGAAGGGATGAAAGGAAACTTTATAGGTTACTAGAAGTTTTGATGTGAGTATACTTTATATACTTTACTGTGTGTATATGATACCTCAGTTTTTAAAAATGGAAAGGAAAAAAAACTCCTGATTTTCACCACTGTCTAGTGGCAGGAAGACAAGTAGGCAGAGTTAGGGAACTAGACATGATGCCAAGAGGAAGCAGCAGTGTCCTGCATCTGCTCCCCGCTGTGGGCCTTGTTCTGTGGAACTCCCCAGCTGCCAAGAAAAGTTGGGGGTGGGGAGAGAGCAAGGTGTGGGCCAATGAAACCAGGGTACTTTCTAGGGAAGTCTTACAGAGTGGTTGTTCCCAAGGATTTCCATATCACTAATAAACTAAGAATACTGGCTATGTTGTAAAAACAGGCTTTAATTTCACGTAAAGGATTTCAACAAGTCACCTCATCTACGCACTTGAACAAGTTGGTAATGTGAATTAGACATTAGCAGTTAAAGCTAAGGCAATGTCTATGGTTGGATACTTGGAAAAGTAGGCTACAGAAACATGAGAACTTTGAGAATTGATGGAGTTTGCTTTGAAATGCCAAAGACTGTTTTGGAAATTGGGCTAATTATAGAAACATGTAAGGAGTAAGGACTCTCTCCCACTCAACCCGGTCCTTCATCTCCACCCCTAGCCCTAGCCACGAAAGACTGAGAAATGTGTATTTTCAGTGTTCGTTTTCCCAATGGTAGAGGTTTACCAGAAGTTATAATGATAGAGTCTATGTATGGCATACATTCCTTCTTGGCTCTGATAATCCTAATGATACAAGCAAATAGAAATCAGAAGTTGCACTTGACCCTGTGATACTTTAAGCTTAACATTCACACCTCCTGTGAGAGACTGATTTCTTCTAATGGTGTACTTGTCTGGTATTTTTTTAGACGCATATTTAGGACAGGGCAAATACAGAGAGTTAGTCTTTCTTAGTGTAGAAAACATTAAAAAAAATCATTCTCATGATATTCTTATATCACTAACAAAAAGATTTAAGTGGTTGGACATCTAGGTCCTCTTTTTTAGTCACGAGGGACACCCAGAAATTAGGAAAATTTAGGGCTATATCTGAAGAAATAATGCATGGTTATGTAGAATCTTCGCAAATCTTTGAGTGTTGGTGAAAGAAGAATTCAGTGTGATTTCTCGAAGCAAGGGGCAAAAAGCTTGTTTGTTTTCCAAAATCTTCCCCTATTGGGTAAAATTCACAAGCTCACAGACAAATTAGTCAAATTGAAGCTGAGATCACTTTTTTTTTTTAAGATTTCATTCATTTTTTTTTTTTTAGATTTTATTTATTTATTCATGAGAGACACAGGTAGAGAGAGAGGAAGAGACACAGGCAGAGGGAGAAGCAGGCTCCATGCAGGGAACCCGATGTGGGACTTGATCCAGGGTCTCCAGGATCAGGTCCTGGGCTGAAGGCAGTGCTAAACCGCTGAGCCACTCAGGGATCCCAGAGATCACTTCTTTTTATGCCTTAGATCACATCCTAGTGGATACATGATGGAGTTGCTGAATGGATACTCTATAACATTGGTCCATACTCAGTGGAGTATGACAGCTTCAAGCTGTCTATATTCAATGTAGCAGTCCATGGCTAAGTTTATATAATGCAAGTTAAAGAAAGCCCTTCCAATTCCATGTTATATAGCTCGATATAAAAATACTTACTGACTTATGGAGAAATTTGTTAATTTATCTTAATTTAACCCCTATCTTTAGAGTGAACAACTGTTTTCTTTGTCCTTACTCCCCAGTGTCTCATCTTGTAGTCCCTTAAGGGCACTCAATAAAGAATAAATAATAAAGTATTTCTTTTCTTTAAAAAGAGCATACTTTAGGGATCCCTGGGTGGCGCAGCGGTTTGGCGCCTGCCTTTGGCCCAGGGCGCGATCCTGGAGACCCGGGATTGAATCCCACGTCGGGCTCCCGGTGCATGGAGCCTGCTTCTCCCTCTGCCTGTGTCTCTGCCTCTCTCTCTCTCTCTCTCTCTCTGTGTGACTATCATAAATAAAAAAAAAAAAGAGAGAGCATACTTTAAATAAAGTATTTCTTGTCTTTTGGGGCTTCTGGGTGGCTCAGTCAGCTGGGCGTCTGCCTTTAGCTCAGGTCATGATCTCAGGGTCCTGGGATCAAGTCCCATATCGGGCTCCATGCACAGCAGGGAGTCTGCTTCTCTCTCTCTCTTTCTCTGTCCCCTCCTCCCTGCCCCATGTTTGTGCTCTCTCAAATAAATAAATAAAATCTTTAAAACATTAAAAATAAGAAAGCAATCTTTCTTCTTAGCAACAATGAAAATGTATTGAGCTTATATTGTGTGCCAGACACTATTCTAAATGTTACCTTACTTAATCCTTATGCTAGCCCTATGAGGTAAGTGCTATTAATAGCTTCACTTTATATACTAGGACACTGAGGCACTAAGAGTTTAAGAAATGTTCCCATGGTCACACAGCCAATAAACGGCAGTTTGGGATTTCAATATAAGCAGTGTGACTCAAGAGATCTTACTACTCTCAGCCTATGTAGTCTGGAGCACCTTCCTTTGAGTTCATGGGCTCAATTCTTAGCACCACTTTACTTATCAGCTGAATGAGTCTTGGACAAACTGCTGAAGGTCTCTGTACCACAATTTCCTCACCTATAAACTGGGTCTAACAATAGCCTCTCTAGATAGGATTTTTTTTGGAAAATAAGATGAGATTATATATGCGGACGACCTGGCACACAGTAGCCAAACAAGAGCTAGAGCTATTCCTTCCCTGTCTGACATTCCTCTTCTTTTTATGCTTGCTGCTGCTCAGCAAGTGTGAAACTTCTCATTCCAACTCCAATGAAAATCAGGTCCCAACATAGCTCAGGAGAGGAGTCCAAGCGGTGGTAGGAAAATAGGCAACATTGCTGCCAATCTCTTAGTGGGCGTGTGGACATTTGCTAAATCCTTGAACAGGAAGTAGTTCATCTCAGCCCTGAAACTGTCCTCATAGTGTTGGCATAAGAAATCTCCAAGGTATGTAGACTTTGGTTCCAAAGCTATACTGCCTCCCACCTTTTTCCAGACGATGGAAAACTCACCTAATGCTCTGACAATTCGCATCAGGACTTCTCCAACTTTCATTCTGGTCTCCGGTGTGTGCTTGTCTTTATCACTGTCATACTGAGCCAATAGGCCAAGCAAGATTTTCTCAGGGTATGCATCTGAGAGTAGGGCAACCCCTGGGGTGAAAAATAAAAAGAAAGGATTCATTATGATTTGAAAATGTAAAGCAAATAAACCCAGACAGCCTGAGATGGGATGAACACTGAGACACTTAAATCCACCTCTGTGACTCTACCAGAAAGGCTGCCCTTTATTTGGAATGATAACACTGTGAGTGCAAAGAACATGAGTCTGAAAGTTCAGTCTCCTGGATTCTTCTAGTCTCAGTCCTATATGATCTCTAAGATCACTTCCAGCCCTGACATTCTATGATTTATGGACTCTAGAGTCTTAAAGCAGAGGCTAGATGATTACACATTGTGGCAGAGATTCACACAGCATCAGGAGAAGACAGGATTAAATACCCTCTGGGGAGCCCTCCAAGTCTGAGACTCTAAGGTTCTTTGACTAGTATCATTCCTGCCAACATATCAGCCCGAAACACAGCAGCGCTTCCTGTCTTTGCTGCAGTTCTCTGTTCCAACATGAGTATTCTCTGTATGACTGGCAATGAGGAGAGTAATTTCCACAAGGAAATATCTTCAGAGCATTCTGGGCATGAGCAGTAGGAGACCTGTGCTTAGAAGCTGAGTTCCCTGATCAGAAACGGGGAAGGTCCTACTCCTGAGTCCATATTTCAAGTACATTAGTAGTCCTCCCCAGCTTATCTGCAGGGAATTCGTCCCAAGCCCCGCTGTGGGAGGCTGAAATTGCAGAGAGTTCCAAACACTCTATATTCTATGTTTCTACCTATACATACCTACCTATAATAAGGTTCAATTTATAAATTAGGCATAGTAAGAGATTGACAACAATAACTAATAATAAAATAGAACATAACATAGTTATAACAACATACTGTAATGTGTTATGTGAATGAGGTCTCTCTCTCTCAAAATACTTATTGTACTCTATACACCCTTCTTCTTGTGATTATATGAGATAACAAAATGCCTACATGATGAGCTGAACCACGAGATAACATAGTGGTTGTGACACAATGTTAGGTTACGACTGACATTCTGATGATTAGTCAGAAGGAGGATTATCTGCTTCCAGATCACAGGTAATCTCAGATAACTGAAACCGTGGAAAGCAAAACTGTGGATAAGTGGGGACTACAGTACTCGATGATCCCTTCTGCCATCATGCCAGTACCTCCTAGATGTGTAATCATTATCTGAGCCCCACCCCGCAGGGAGCAAACTTCACAGGGGGGGAAAGAGGAGGGGAGATATGCTCTATGATAGGATTAGAAATAAAGCCCCTGATCTCAAAACTATATAAACAAGTTTTGAGTTCTCTTACTTGGGAGGAAAATGTCACACACTTCTAAAGAATATTAAGGAAGAAGGAAAGAAATACAGGTTTCAAAATACATTCAGGAGGAGAAAGCTTCTTTTTACCACCTCTACCTCAACTATGCTGGTCTCTCATTTGTGGCATGCTGCTTTTCTTTTTTTCCCCAATTGGTCTCTCTGCTTTTACCTGATAACCTCACTGCAGCTGGAACCATCTGGTTAAAACAAGTCAGGCCCCATCATTCTGCCCAAAGCCCTCAATGGTTTCCCCTTCTCTCCTGCCTATGAGCAACCCCAATCCCAACTACCTTTGCTTACTCTCTGACCTCCTCTTTTACCATATACTCTCCCTTGCTCACTGTCCTGCCACTCTGGCCTCCTCACTGTTCTCCGAGTAGACCAAGCTGCTTCAGGCCCATAGTCTTCCCCTGACATCCCCTTGCCTAGGCTGCTCCTCCTCCAGGTAAGGTACCCTTATGGCTTCCCCCCAAGCCCTATCATGTCTCTGCTCAAATATTACACTTACCACATACAAATGGCAGCCTCCTTCCCCTACTACTCTTTATCTCTCTCACCCTGCTTTATTTTTCTTCTTAGCACATGTTATATACAGTATTTGTTTATTTATTGACTGCTCCCCTCCTTAGAGTGTAAACGTTATAAAGTCAAGGATTTTTTTTGTTGCTCTCTGCTATAGCCTCAATCCTAGAAGAGTGCAGGACACAGCAAGTGTTCAGCAACTATTTGTTCAATGAATGAACCGATAAAAGAGTTCAAAGATACAGTCTTGATATAAATTTCAGGAATTAAGAAAAAGAAGATGGGGAAGGAGTAATAGAAATGCTTAAGAAGGGCAGCCCCAGTGGTGCAGCGGTTTAGTGCCGCCTGCAGCCCAGGGTGTGATCCTGGAGACCCTGGATCAAGTCCCACATCGGGCTCTCTGCATGGAGCCTGCTTCTCCCTCTGCCTGTGTCTCTGCCTCTCTCTCTCTATGAATAAATAAATAAAATCTTTTAAAAAAAAAAAGAAATGCTTAAGAAATCTTCATTTTTCATCTGAGTTTACCAATCTCCCATTTATTTCTTTTCCAATCTCCCATTTAAATCTGATATTTATGCAAAATCAACATACTTTTTTTTTAAGACTTATTTATTTATTTGAGAGAGAGAGAAGCAGAGGGCGAGAAAAAAATCCCGAAGCAGACACCCCGCTGAGCATGGAGCCAGACACAGGGCTGGATCCCAAGACCCTGAGATCATGACTTGAGCTGATATCAAGAGTCGGCTGCTTAACTGACTGAGCCACCCAGGTGCCCCTATTTTCTATGTTATAGGTTGTGATATTCCATTCTTTTATAAATCAGATATACACAAAGGCAGTACACCTGCTGAAGGCTGCACCTGTCTGCCTCTATTTTTGCCTTCCCCACCCTTATCTTTTCATTGCTTCCAAAAAGTCTGGGAAGTCCCTGCATGTCATCCCAAACCACATCTTCCTTTATGTGGCCTCCAATTTTCTACAAGCAGAAGCTCTGCTCTTAAGGAAGGTTCAGGCTGTGGCAGAACCTGAATCAGGCAGTTTCCCTGTTGGCACAATATGACACTGCATTTGTAGTTAGTTATCTTCTGCAAAATGATGGGGAAGTTTTTGGAGGTCCAAGGTGGAATTAAAGATATATTTTGGTTGCACAAAGCATCTACTCTGGTAACAAAACCTGGTGGTCCTTTGGGAACTATCCCTTTCCTAGCCTTAGTCTATGTGGTTTGAGTGGAGCTAACTACTCACTTTCTCCCCTTCCATATATAAACTCATATCCCAGGCTGGCCAGTTAGGACATTCCATCCCATGCCCACACAATGATGGGCTCAGGAATGGGCAATGAAACTCAATTCTGGAGCCCACATTGAAAGTACTGGGAAAGATAAGCTCTTTCTTCCTGTTGAAGTTATTAGCCTGGAGTTGCCTGTGGCCTCTATGTGGAGAAAGCCCACGCAAAAAAAGCCAAGACAGAAGAGGGTCAAGCCAAGAGAGGGAAGGAAAAAAGGAAGAGAGCTGATGTCATGCTTTGAGACTCTGAATCCAAATGTACTTCCACCCACTAGACTCTCTGCATACGTAAATCAATAAATATCCTTTTATGTGTATGCCAGTTTGTTTGATTTTTTTTCATTCAAAGGAATCCTAACACACCCTTCTTCAGATTAAAAAAAGATTGAAATTTTTATTTATTTACTTACGTACTTTTCCTATAATGCCAAACTTTTAATTCCACTAGGGAGCTTTAAATTCTTCCACTCTTGCATTAAAAGTTTGCTTAATAGCAAAGCCCAGTTTCCTTGCTTCCCACAGTCCCACGTTAGCAATTGTTTATCTTCTTGCTGGCCTTTTCCACGCTGCTGCCAAATGGCCCTCTGACTATTTGAGTTTTACCTTCTAGGATACAGCTGCTACCTAGGAGTTTATAAATCCCTAGGGCAGCTCCCTCCTTACTCTTACACTAAGCAGTGAAGAGAATCATAAATGATGGTCAAGACTGCTAAACAACTAAAGAGGTGAAATTTCGTGTGGCTGTTTTTGTTTCTTACTTGAAAAGTTCTCTGAATTTTGACAACTGAGGAAGTGAGACCATAACCTTCACATGACCCCTTGCCCCTCACGCTTGATAATTCCTTTGTAATTGAAAAATGGGGTAATTTCTGGGTCAGCCCAGGCTTCAAGAAAACATGACACATCAATCCCTTTGGCAATAAGAACCAAATGACTGTGTGATAAATACCTGCTTCTGCTCTGATCGCAGGAAAATGACTACATATTTCAAGATGTGGTTTAATAGATAAGTTACATAGAAGGAAGGTAAAGGTGAACCTAAAATGACCAGGGTTCATGAAAACATTCTGATCTGTATTTTCAGGGAAAGCATAGGATATAGACAAATATCAACTGAAATATCAGTTGACAACTCAACTGAAAAAATATTGTTAAAAGCACATTATGCAATAAAACGGAGACAGTCAACTCTGTCTTACACAACACTCTTGCGTTGTAGGAAAGATAGTTTAACTTAAATGTCTTTGCTGACTGACTCTATCCCAAGAAACTGCTAAGCCAATCTCCACTTTAAAACTAACCTCAGCCTCATTCTCCTGGGCAGATAACAACCTACCTCCCAAAATACCCACAGCTACTTGGAAAACCACCTATTCCCTCAAACCTCTCAGGTATTTCTGCTGACAAAAAACTGTAAAAAACACAGCACCTCACGTATTGTGTGACTCCATTTACATGAAATGCCCAGACAAGGCAAGGCAGAAGAGAGAAAGTAGATTTAGTGGTTACCTAGGGCTGTAGGAGACAGGGGGAAATAGGGAGGGACTGCTAATGGCTGCGGAATTCCTTACCGAGCAATAAAAACTTTCTAAAATTGATTGTGGTAATGGGTATTCATGGGTATTCATTCTGTGAATATACTAAAACCACTGTATCATACACCTTAAATGAATGAATTGTATGGTATGTGACTTATATCCCCAAAAGTTATTATTAAAAACACTATAAAAGCCATTTCAGATCTACCCTTTTAGGTTTCTAGAATAGAAGAAAAAGGGAGAAGATAAAATAGCACATCTTATATAAAGGGAAATCCACTGCAAAGTATCAGCTTCCTTTTGTACTCAAATCTGTTTTGGTTGCCCCTGTAGGGTGAGGAGGGTGGACAG